AGCAGCGATCTCCCCCAATACTGGATCAAATTCAAAAATTGTTATCCCCATTAGTCACTTCGACACAAAAACAAGGGACCATATTGAAAAATGCCAAAGTTACCCTTTAATGATGAATGCATTTATTTATTTATGTATTTACTCATTTGATTGCACCACTTGTTTTGTAGTAGCATTGTGAGATAAAACATTATATTTATTAGACAATGTTAGCGGTAAGAATCTAAAAAGTAGCAAAATCTTTTAATATGCTGTTTATTCTGTCTTGTTGGGTCTTGTAAATTGAGACTTTTGAAATAACAAATAACACATTCTTTCTATTACAAGTTAAATGTTGAATTCATAAGCCACAAAATATACCCTTGTTCAGTCAATTACACTCAGGGTTTCTGTCTTGTTTTAGTTTTTTTGTTATATCTTTATTTTGTTTAGTAGGACTGGTGTATGGTGGCTAAAATAAATAAACTTCAGATTAATATTAACATGAATAAAACCATGATGATGACCCTCTTTTATCAGGCTTTAATTAGACAAATCTAGTCTTTTTTTCTCACAGCTGCAGCCGTGATCTTTTTGGGCCCCTAGGGGTAGAAAATTTTTTATAGAAATGCTTTCGTGCCTGCAGCTATTGCACTACTAAACACTAGCATGAGATAATGCACTTCACCCATGCATGGCACTTTTGTGTGTGTGTGTGTGTGTGTGTGTGTGTGTGTGTGTGTGTGTGTGTGTTTGTGTTTGTGTGTTTGTGTACTGATGATACTTGTTTTAGGGTATTTTGTTTTGATGTCGTATTGCTGTGATGTCTTGATTTTAACTCTGGAAATCCCTTGTCTGCACAAGAAATTTGCACTGGTTAGCCGAAGAAATCTTGAACCCTGAACCTTGACTTTTCTGTACTCATGCTACTATTTACATGTTTTAGCATTTACCACTACTCACTAATATCTACTATCTAGTAGTGGGTAGTATTATTGTTTTAAAGGAATAGTAGGGTAGTAGTATTACACTGCTTTCTTTCCAAGAGTTAGATGAGATGATCAATACCACTCTCATATCTGTGTTATATGAAGCTGAAGTATAGCCAGGAGGCAATTAGCTTAGCATAGAGAATCCAAGCAGGGGGGAGTATTGCTAGCATGAAGACATGTTAATTAGTGAGCTTTATCCAGGTTCTTTTAAGTCTTAAATTCACACTGACATTATGGAATCAGTATTTCAATGAACTGGACTGCAAATTCAACACATTTCCATGAATTATAGTTGTGTCATAAAAAAATACTTTTTATAGGCTGTCAAAAATATTTCATAACCATATGCACACTGATATTCCTATTCATTCATTCATTCATTCATACACATACAGTATAACTTACTCACACATTCACTGTAAAATCCAGTATATTGCATTTGATTCATATGCCAAATTGTCCCTCCGGGCCTTCTCTCCACTTCAACTCTATTTGCATGTCTAAAGCAGCAGAGTCATTAAGAGGCAACCAACCACAGCGACACAGTCTCAGTGCTCAGTGCCTCCCTGGAGCTGCTGAAGCATCGTCAGCCTTGGGAGAAAGCGAATCAGAGAGTCTCTACAGGTCCCCTATGGGAGGAGAAGAGAGCTCTTATTCTAACTCGGTGGAAAATGCCAGCACCCACAGGGGCACCGTTACACACAGCTGGGATAATAAGTATCACAGGGAGACCCACGATCCACCAGCAAACAGAGACCAGAGCATGGATTTCTTCCCTATTCACCGTTGCCACCAAGCTGACTCATCCCAAAAAGCCAGTGTATCTCTTTCCCCTTGCTTTAGAAGGGCTATTCGAATGCCTGAATCAGTGTGCCATGTAATACAGGATGTGGTTTATAGGACCACTGGGGAAAGTGTATGGGGTGAAACAGTGTGGCTATGAGATGCACTCTCTGGAAGGCAGGCTTGAAATGAAACACTTAGGCATATAATCCACATAGCACCCTGTCTACAATAAGCTTCCAGTAAGAATTTATTACACTGTTTTATACTTTCCACTTTCTCCTTTGGTTTCCCTTTACATAGCTCTAAGGTTGTTACAATCATCATATGTCTCACTGTCTGACAGTATCATACTGTATATAATGTATCCATATAAGTACATGAAAATTATTGTGTATTATTTTATACATATTTTCAAATCTGTCATATTTGGCATCTCTACAAACTTTGGAATCAAAAAATCTAATAATCTCAACACACTCTTTTCATTCTCTGACTACCATAATAAATGTCTGATTTTCTATTATGCAGCCTCAGTATATTTGATAACATATACATTATATGCTATGTGAAGAATAATGTAGGATGTGTCTATAAAAATCAAGATGATTTAATTGCTAATACGTTCATCATAATAAGATGAACAAATTACTTTCGTGACTCAGAGCAGAATCAGACTTTTTTTAAGTAGTGTGTGGATCAGCCAAAGAGACATGAATTCCCATTGTTAGACAGTCAAATGCAGCAGGGGATTGCAGGAGCTCAAGCCAAGGATTAAATTTGTCACAGTAAAATTGTACTACTAGTGTTAATTTAAAGGCACGAGCAGAATACTTAGCAAGTGAGAGGCATAACTGCGTTGTTAAACGTGAATTTCCCTGCTGGAGATATTAGCACAGAGCCCTCGCTTTATTAAGCATAACCCATTTCCATGGAAGAGGTAAAATGTATGCCTCACTAACACAAAAGTCTTGATTCGCCCAAGGCCGACCTCCTCTCCGACTATTTGTTTCTACTCTTTCTCCTCTCTCGCATGCTTGAGCTCACTCTGCTTTCTCCCATTCTGGCATTCAGTTTAATAAGTTAGCATGAATAGCTGTGACTGAATATAATGCCTGAGATCTGCTAGCAGGTTATAAATGTAGCCTTAATGGCTCAACCATTATAACATTTGGTACAGACTCTGCCATGGTGAATGTGGCACTGCAAGAAAATGGACGCAGTGGAGGGCAGGAGGATGGGGGATGAAGAGTTCCCTTTCCATTAGCTGATTGGAACCAAGTCCTGCAGGCCAGGGATTATTTGCCTCACATCAAACACAACAGAGATGTAAACACCTCTGTTAGTGGGTTCAGGAAAATGTCATATGAAAGCATTGTCCCATCAACAAGACTATTACACCATCCAGCAATAAGACCCAGGTAGTCTGCTAATAGAGGCGGTTGCTCTAGTACATTTCTCACTACTGGTGTTGTTTTGTATCATCCACACCATGTTTTTCGTGAGCCGGAGTGAAGGCCTAATGGACCATGGCGTGCTGGAGTAGACAACACATCTCACATTAGGACCCTAGTGCAATGTCAGATTTAATAAATGATATATATACTTGTTCTGGCTCCATTGCGGAGAGTGGTGTGAGAAGTGGTAGGAAGATGAGAGGCTTTACAAACCATAAGTGTTCCTTGTCTTTGTAACCAGGTCAACGACAAAGATGTTTCCGCACAGAGGGTTTGGGAAGACATGTGGGTATGGAGGTTGTGGTGCATAGTTAAGAGCACAGTGTGATACAGGCTTTTATCCAGGACCATCACGCATGTCTTGGACAGAGTCTGAGAGAAAGACATGTACTGGGAGAAAGACAGGCCTTAAAAAAAAAAAAACATTAACAGTTTCCTAATCTGCTGAGGAGGCATGATCTGAAGAAGAAACAAAGTCAGAAAGAGAAAACAAGTCTTGTTGGAGTGACGTGGGAAATGCAACCCACACATGCACCTTGATGAAGTCAAATGCAGATTTTAACTGTGAGAAGAGCTGTCATTATTAAAGGCAATTAAGGGAAATGCAAACATCATATGAAAATGTAATGGAAATATGCCATCCTCATTTCTATATTCAATCGAGGAGAACATTCATCAGTGTAACCTCCATTTGCCCTCATGTGTTTGCCTGCAAAATGTTTCAGCTGACACCGTAATTATGCACTTTGCGTGTGTTACCAGGAGTTTGACAAACCCCCACTTGCCACAGGTTTTGTTGTGATTGCAGCTTTACCGGCATCTGCATTTCAAACACCTGCCACCTTTTATAGATAACTAACCCCCACATGATCCCTGTCAATGGCACTGGCTGCACTGTCTCACAGCCTGAGACAGTGACTTAGCACTGCACTCAGATACTATATTATTTAGTCTAATGATAGAGATCATATACATATTATGATTCAGTTTTTTGAGCCCTTAGATTCTCTAGGATTAGGAAAATAATTAGAGGATTGTAGCTGACAGGAGCTGGCTGACACATTGCTCTTTAGATAGAGTGTTAGCTACGGAGGTCAAATGTCATCAAGCCTGATTTTGATGCTAAATGTACTTGACGAATGTTACCAGAGAGCAGGCTTGCTGTTTGCAACCTAGAATTATATTCAGAGGTGAAGAGGCCCCGAATATGCCCATGCATTAATGAGCATGTACACTTGATATATTTAGGACATCTTGATATTGAACTGCAGCCCTTTTTGCACAATCCAGATCTCAGCTGCCTTAGACATAGACTTAGACAAGTGTCTCTAATTGGTCTGCTTCTCTTTATGTCCATCCATGTCTGTGATTAGTGAAGATTTAATAAAGAAAATCAGTGTGGCGTGGTGCATCAGTTCACCTCATCAGTGGATGCAACGCCCCACCTAATTTTCTTTCATTTTTTATTCTTCATTTTTTTTTTACATTATATGCATATATATATAAGATGATGTTAATGTCCATACCATAACTGCACTACAAGGATTTTCTGATTTTTTAACTGTGTAGGCTACATATGACTCTGTATTTGAATGTCCATATAGATCTTTTTAAATCTAGTTTTCTTTCAGGTAGAAAATAGTGCAGCAATTAGCCAGCCTTGACCAATGAATGCATTTTGTTAATACGGCTGTTTCAGTCCGATTTGACCTTCCATGATGGGTCAAGTATGCAGCACATGTAATCATTTGTAATACTTTCTAGAGGTGAGTTTTCAACTCAGTTACCCTGGGGACTGACAGGTGTTTCAAGAGCTCCTGTAGAATAAGGTTCTAATCATTACTCAGACCGTGAACACATGGTTATATTTGAACAGGACCGGCCATAAGGTTGGCGTTGAAAAGATGTGCATGATTCCAGTGGGGATAACTAATTAAGTGATAGTCTCTCATTCTGTCTGTTCTCGTGCTGAATATAGTCGGGCAGTGGCCCCTACGGGCTACCATCTGTAAAACAAAGCTGATGCTGCTCTGCAAAGCCATACTGTATTTTGCTGTTGTTGTAAGGGCTGAGAAGTCAGACTCCCTTTTTTTTGCGCTGCGCCACAGAATACAAATGAGTTTCCGTAAACTGTGCTGCAAATAATGAGTGACTCAGGGAGACATGCTGCAGGTCATGTGTGAAGACACCCATGCGCACGTACGCAGACACACGTTCCCAGCGCATAATGACACAAACATACACACCCGTTTACAGACACAACAAGAAGGCACTCACGCACAGTTGACACGTCTAACCTACCTCCTCAATTTCACCCGCTACTCTTCTGGGAAACACTCTATCTGGCCACTGACCAATTATTTCGTCGTTTGAGTTGATTTTTTTAGCCCTTTAACTTCTGCCGGAGCAGTTCAGGAAATGCAGTCGGAGTTTTCCTCGGATCGTGGGATGTGAGCGTCGTTGTGTCTGCGGGTGACAGAGAGGGGGAAGGGGGGCGCTCTGCTCTGCTCAGTGCAGGGCGCAGGAGACAGTCGCTCTCCAAGGTGCTGAAAGTCGGAGCGCTCTCCCTCCTCCTCAGTCTCGCCTGCTGACGATGAATGCGACCTCTGCCGAAAACCGAAAATCAAACAATGATTGGCTTCAATCCCGTTTGGTTTGATTTTTTATACTCTAACTTCTGCCCTTCTGGATTTTTATTTTTCATGCAACCGCTGGATGTATACACACACATATGTGCAACAAGACTGACTGCTGCTTTCTAATATTCACCTGCTTCATTGGGAAATATTGAATTGACTCCGGATTCTCAGGGAACGCTATAGAGGATTTTTTTTCTAGCTGTTTTTCTCGGTATCTGTCTCTCTCTCTCTCTCTCTCTCTCCCTCCGTACCGCATGCCTTCGGACGTGAACTGTGATATTGTCTCAAAAAGGTGAGTCCCGACGAGGATAATCATGAAGCAGACCTACTTTTATGAGGATATCATTTTCTTTGCACTGGAAAGGGGGAACCATACCTCCAAAAGGCTTGTGTTTAATTGCTTTTAAACCCATCATCACGACCGAGAGGGAGGATTATAGTGTCTTGTGGAGTCTGGTGAATTTACCCAGTGGATAAAGTGAAGTTTCCAATAGACTAGGCGGCTATCTTTAATCTGCTCTAGCCCTCTATGTGTTCGGCTCTCTGGCTTCACACTAAGTGGATATCAAGCAATTCCAACGCGGTGAGTTTGCCCTGTCGTTTAATATACATCCCTGTTGTCACTGGCATTTCAATTGATCCGTCAAGACGCGCAACAAACCAAACGATTCCAAGCGGAGGGGAAATATTTGTTTTCAGCTATTTGTTTCTTAACTGTCTGGTTTCTGATTTGTGGTTTTCTCCCTCCGAAGGAGGGATGCATTTTGGGTTAAATCGTTGCGCATTTATGATTCGGGACATTTGCATGTTACATGGCTGATTTAGTAAGAACAGGTTACTGTAAGTCCAATGTTGGAGCAGCAATTTGTATAATTATTGGCTTCAAGGGATTTTGAAACAGACTAATAGCTACCTGTTGTGTCTGCTTGCTCTGATGGAGTTTGAAATTGTGCAAATACAGCTCATAGGTTGGGTTTTCGTGAATGTGGAGAAGAATACTGCGAACAGCCCACTCCACCCACTTCAGATAATGGATATTTTAACCTTTTCCTATGTTACTGGACGTTCAGCTGTCGTTGAGATTTTTTGCAGGAAGAGAATCAGGAGAATCAACCCCCCTCCCTCCCCCCTCACCACGACCACCACCATCACACAAGCGCACAGTAAAAACTACACGCTTCTTATGTTAAAAAAAAAATGTTTCCTCAGGGATAACTGCATTAGCCTGTTGAGTAAGCTGCATTGGGGTGTCCAATTTGTCTCTGAAGATAGAATAGTAAAGAAACTGGCATCATCCTTATAACGACAACTGGTTGCAGCATTAGGACAAAATCACAGGCCCATGGAAAGAAAAAATAAAAGTATTTGTTTTCTGGTTTATGAGGATGTGCAAAACAACAGCAGTGAATCATCACCCATCATATCATCTCTTATTTTTTCCACTGCAGCCAATTTCCTCAAGTGATGATGATGATGATAATGAAGCACAGGACGGATCCGGAGAGGATACCAGGAGCCTAGGGATGACATCCACACAATCTTGTTGAATGTGGATATCGATGGCACGGCGTAGGATGGGCCCTCTGCTCTCGGCCGCCTTCATCCTCCTGCTGGCCCTGAGCGCCGTGTCTCCGGCCTCGGTGGGTAACCCCGAGGATTACGCGGCGGACGAGGCGGAGCGGACCGCCAGCGAAAACATCGTCTTCGATGACTATCGGGGGAAAGGATGCGTGGATGACAGTGGCTTCGTCTACAAACTCGGGGAGCGCTTCTATCCGGGACACTCGAACTGTCCGTGCGTGTGCACGGAGGACGGGCCTGTGTGTGACCAGCCCGAGTGCCCCAAACTGCACCCCAAGTGCACCAAAGTGGAGCACAATGGATGCTGCCCCGAGTGCAAGGAGGTTAAAAACTTTTGCGAGTACCGGGGGAAAACGTATAAAATACTGGAAGAATTCAAGGTAAGCTCTGTGTTCTAAGATCCAACCGTGGTCATTTTTTTTTACAACAACAATATATGTGTTACATTTGTACATTGAAGCAATACTTTCTTGTGTGTCAACTTACAGTACAAAAACTAAAGTCATTGCACCTAATGAAAGGTGTCTTCAACATTTCCAACATGCACTGCCTCACTCAATAGGAGGAGCATTTTTTTAAGATAGTGTTACCAGTCTAATTGCTGGCATTTAAGTTGTTCCTGGTTCCCATATAATGATAAAATAGCTATACTGTAAGATCACATTTAAACTGATGCTCATGAGTTGGTTCCCTCTTGCCAGGTTGATTCAGTCAGTCACAGTCGGGATGTCTGGATGCCACTGTAGCAACCATCTTACATGGCAGTCTGGGCTATTCAGTTGTTTTTTAGTTTCCTATACAAAAATATAAACTCCTCAATCTGTATTTGCATGTCCATGGCAAGTGATCAATGTCACTCAGTTCAAATATGAAACAATATCTAATGTCATGATGGTGTTATTTTGGCAGCAGCCACTATCTCATGGGAACAGAGGCCAGTCTTAAGGAAAATTAAGCACAGTAGATCAAACATTTTATTTATTTATTGGTCTAGCAACTGACCTCAGTCGTCTTCAATTATATTTAATGTTTAAAAATTAGCTCAACATACAGCTCAACTGCAGCATTGGCCCCCGGTGGTGGGTCGTTAGGGTTTGGGTTAGTGAGGCTAACTTGTCGGTTCTTGGCATACTGTAAAAGTATCATGAAAATGTGTTCATTGGCCAAAGGCACAAAGATGGCTACTTTAGTGATGTCAACTGAACATTCACCCAGCGTTTACTGACAGATGCTGTAACAGTATTTTAATGCTTTGATTTGTGGACACTGAGTCATTGCTGGCAGATTCAGTTTCCCTGTGTCCTGCAAAGGAAGCACTGTTTTTATCCATCAAACCAGTGTCTCTGCAGTTGTTATAGAGCATGACAGTATTGCCTGATTTGAAATGACACTATGAGCATGACAACTACAGTCTGTGTTTAAACTGTTGCTGCCCATGAGGAAACCTCCTCATTCAAATTCCTCACAAGAGGACTGAGGCTGTAAGTGATTGATATATAATATGACACAATGCAGCCTAAACAACGCTATAGCTCTATGGTTAATCATATTCAAATATATCAGTGACCAGTTAAGATTATATGTCAGCCAAATGCTTTAGATCTCCAATAGAATACGTCATGGTGTTTTGGAGAGTATGAAGAGTATTCAGGACTGAAGTTAGGTTCGGGGCTCTTGCTTGCTTTTCATACATATGATGACACCTGCATTTATCCTTTTCTGGATTTAACAATTACATGTTATGACATAATGTTAGAGGTAGAAACTACACCTGCATCCAGTGAGCCCAACATGATCACTAATTTCCTCTTGATTTTTTACATTTTTATTAAAATTGTATGGCCTGTGTTTTTGCCTCATATTTATTCAGAAACTGATTTCTGTAGATAGACACCAAGTTTTTTCCCAGTTTAAAACACTGGACTCACTAACCAACAACAGCTCTGTGAGTAATGCATTTTCATAATCAGGTGTTGAAATGATTTATGTTGATATGGCAGTGAATAGGAGCACTTCTCAATCATGTGCAGCCAACTTGAAATGATAGACACTCGAATTGCCAGTGGAAGATTAGCAACATGTTCTGCAACCAACCTTGGGAAACCATTTTTTAGAGCTTTGGCCAAACATTATGTATCTGAAATTTACAGAATGTTAACCTGAAAACAGACAGAATTAGTCAGCAATTACTTAACTATCTATGCTCTAAACCTTCTTTCGAGCTATTAAATCATGGATAGTCACATTTCCTGTGTCCAGCCTGAAGATACATAAAGCTAAAAATATTGCAACTATTTACAATGGACACTGTTACAATATACTGTATATGAGTAGCATTGTTTTGTGGTATGGTTCTTTGAGCTAAAACCATTTAGTTAAAACATTATATTTATTATTTTCTTTTTTGTTCACTTGGAGGCACTTGAGATGAACTGGATAAGAACATTGACAGTTAACCAAAACATTAAAGTAGTGGTTTGTAAAAACCAAAACAATTAGCTGAAAGATGCTAAAAGGTTCCGTAGAGCTGAGGGGAACTGCAGAGTCTGCAATAATTCTCTGCCGTCATGTGATGTCAGTCAACCCCTTTCACGCCGCACACAGTTATTTGACCTATTCAAAAATATTCACAAAATATCGATTTGTGCTGCTTTAAAGTTAGGGAGATGCATGGGCGGATCTAGACAACTATTCATGGGGTGACAAGAGGGTGGCATGGAGACTTTAAGGCACAGCAGAAATATATGCTGATTTAATCACAAATAATCACATATATCAATATTTACTTGGAAATGCCCCCAAATAAAGATATTTTAAAGGAACAGTATGGAGGATTTAGGGGCATCTAGCAGATAATTTGCAGACTGCAACCAACTGAACACTGCTAGCGTATATGTATTTGATGACCTGGGAAAGATAATGGGCTGTGTGTAGGAGAAACTACAGTGGTCACGAAAACACACAAAACAAGCAACAGGCCCTATCTACAGCCAGTGTTTGGTTTGTCCATTCTGTGCCACTGTAGAAACATGGCAGTTCAACATGACAGACTCAACAGAAGGCGACCCACAGCGTCTATAGATAAAAACAACTCATTATGAGGTAACAAAAACAACAATTCCAATATTCAGGTGATTATACACCAGCGAAAACAAACCCATAAATACATGTTCCATCTCTGCCAATAGATTCTCTTAAATGTTACACACTGGACCTTTAACTCAAAAACATTGTCTACTTCTCTTTCGCCATGCACAGTCTCAGCAAAATGTTTTGTTATCTGTACTGTGTTTGTTTCAGTTTGTCTTCATAATGACATCAAGGCAAAGCAAAGAAACCTCTGCTGGCAAATGTTGGGACCATGTTGCACCTGTGAATATTAGCATGTCATGTCACTGAATCAAATTGAAGCAGGCAGGGAGCTGCACAGTGAGTTAAGCCAAATAAAATGTAAACAAGCATCATTATTAACCATTCAGCTCATCATTTATCTTTGGAATTGCAATTTTCAAAAAATCAGGCAAAGTCGAAGTAACCAGACGGAAACTAAAAACCTTTCTTAGTTTCTTTTAATCCGCACTGGCATATTTCTTACATTCTGCTAGACGAGGGGTAGCGTTGAGCATTGGGGTTTTCCACTGTTAACAAAGATTTTTATGCCTCCGGTAGGGGGCCATTATGCTAGTGCTGAAAAAATGAGTTGATTAACTGATGAGTCAATTCACATAAAAATTTATCAACAGCTATTTAAATGTGCAATTAATCATTTATTTAGGGCATTCATCAAAGAAAAATGTAAATTATTGCTGGTTCCAACAAGTTGAATTTCTGCTTTTCTGTGTTTTACATTATTGTCTTTGGGATTTAAAGTATTAATTGGATAAAACAAGCAATGAAGATGTAAGCCACATTTTTCACATTTTTTCTTTTACAATTTTATATTAAATTATATTTTGATTTAATTATAACAATCAAGAAATTGATAATAAAAATATAATATATTACACATTATGCATTGGCACATCAGGATGAAAGTGACTGTTGCTGTTAATAAAGGGTGTGTGAGATCAGCTCATTTAAAAAATATGTAGTTCATCTATACTGATTGGTGTGTTTGCACATCAGACAGCATCAAGCTCAGTCCTGCATTGGGATGCAAGCCCACAGATTATGTAGGCCGTTGTGAGTGTATAAGCCTTGCAGTTTGATGTGAGATCAAGTCCATCAATAGTGCAGCTCACCCTCCTGCTAACCTTGACTGGAAAGCCCAGAGAGGGAAGGACATTTCTTGGTGCTTGAGGGAGGAAAAAAAGAATTCATTTGTTCTTATTGATTATCTCAGTGAAAATGACATGACAGAAATAAGGAAAATGGTGCAGGATTATCCCCTCTCCTATCTCATACCACACAAGTAACTCTAATGTCTTAGTCCACGTCCTGTATGAAGGTTTCGTCTCTTCAGGGAGGACATGAAAGCTTTTGGGACCCTGCTGAGTTCAAGAAAATCAAAGGTCGTCAGTATCTGGTCTACAGACTCCTGTTTAGAGATACAGACAGGTTAACCTTTGGTGTGGGCCTCATTGGCATTTCCTTTGTGGCTATTGTGCTACATTGTGCAGACGTTTGCATTTATATTCAGTTAAAGATGATGGAGAAAAAATGCAGGGATACAGCACCTCCTGATTACAGGAGAGATGTGGTCATTTTAGAGCTTATGGGTTGCTTGGATGTCGAAGTTTTAATGAAGAAGAATTGATGGAGATATACATAGTTTGGCATCAGCCAACACCTGAATCATTTTGCAGTTTCATTATGCTGAAAATCCCATCATGCAATAGGTCAGTCATTGTCATGCAAATGAATCTAATGCTGGTATAACTCATGCATCAGCAACCTGACAAATAAGTCTAAAGTACACTTCCCAGTACCAACACGTCCATTTAAATATTTACTTTTAGCAACATAGGATTTAATACAATGTAGAGTTTGCAGGTGTAGATTTACTACCAGTGGGTGTATTTTCTACTCTTTTGTTTTCTTGCCCTGTGAGAGAGTCATGCCACTCAACCTTAGTAGGTGTTTCACCTACAGGGTTCCCCATCAGATGAGGAAGGGACCATTCCGCCCAGCATGGCTGCCGGCGTGCCTCTGGCCTCAGCACAGCTGCAATCAAGAACCAGGAGATATAGGGTGAGTTCAGATCCCAGATCGTCAGGCTAGGGCTGGGATGTGAACTCAAATGTGAACAATCCCGTCCGTGCTTCCTGCGATCCCCCTAGGGAAGGGATGCAGAGTTGAAAAAGAAGGGGGGGGGGGCTCTGACATTTTCAGTGACAAAGGTACACACAGTAGATTTCAACCATCACATCTTGAATAATTTCTTATTTAGATTTAGGTAATGTTAATTGGATAATTTGCAAGTAATATATCTGCTAAAACATGTAGCCTTAATACTTATTTTCTACTCTTCTTTTCAATCCCCATGAGTCACTAATCTCTCCAGTGCAGTGCAGTTAAGGCCTATGACCCAGTAAGGCTTAAATGTAAAGGCAATTTCAGTTCAAGAGAAAAACATATTGCTTTTTACCACCTCTCCTATAATAGATACAAACGACAGAAAATCTTATGTAATTTCTTTGTTTTTTTTAATTGTTCTCACAATACAACAACAAGACTTCCCTGAACGTGATGTATTGCAATTATAGAAATGTAGGCCTACTGTGAAAGCACATGTACAGACAATCACAACATTGAATTTAAAACAGCATGAACACACACGGGGCTGCCTACACATCACACACAACAGTAATTAGTGACTCTGCTTTTCAGCACCGACACCTAAGAGACAAAACAGTCATAAAAGCTGTAAAAATGATTGCTCAAATTGATTTTCCTATCCAATTTGCCAGAGGCAACAAGGGTCCTAATTAGAAGAAATTATTAAGCACAAACAATTAGGCCACAACGAATTTTCAAGTTTTTTCTGGTCTGAACTTCCTTCCACTTAAAGTACACTTGTAAAAGTATCAAGGGTGTTCTTAACATTCTCAACTCCCCTCATCCACAAGTCTTACCTCCTCTCTCACTCTCTCTATGTATTCCCTGACCACCGGTAAAATATTGTTTTGACTTGGACAACAGCAGCGTGCAGTTTGACTGTGAGCCCATTCCCATCACTCCTATTAACCGCATGGATAAGATTCCTGTGACCCTGTTGTGCAGCCTCAAATTATTATTACCATTTGCCCTGCTGAAGGTTATTTGACTATTCATTGCTTCCCTGCCCCTTCGCCATTTGTCTCAGAGTGGGAATGAAAAGCATGACAGCCGATTCACTCAAATACCCAGCCAATAAGACGGCGACAACAGGAGACTTTTTCTTCACGAAAACATCTGGTAACATGTCTAAATTTGGTGCTGGTGCTCTATTTTCTTTTGTGTGTCTGGGCTAAGGCATGACTGATCCTCTTCACGGTAGACCTCACACAAAAGGACACACTGAGAGCACCAGGCGCTGCTGAATACATTGAAGGAATGTCCAATGTGAATGAAACTGCACTAGCAGGCTTCCACCTGAGCTGCTTTACAAGCCAATCTGCCAGATTAACTAACAGAGAAATGCCACTTCTGCTTTAAAATGATTTATTTTTAAAGGCCAGTTGTGATAGTGAATAAACACTACTATCTGTAATAGCCAGTTTGTACTTCACAGTTTTTTTACAATTGGTAACACAAACAACAACAGTTAAAGGGAGACTTTGCTGATTTTCAACAAGCTTTGTATCATTACAGTGTGGATAGCATGCAAATGAACACTGTTTAACTTACCTCCATGTTGCATGGACCCAGAGCTCCCCACTCTTGGGATGTTGTTTGAACTACATATTGCACTTCTGCATGTTTTGTATGCCTGCCTCCACAGACAGTCAGATCAAGAGAGGCAAAAGTCCGCCAGATGAAGCGTTTTACTGGCCAATTAGCAGGGAGCTCTGGGTGCAGGCAACATGGAGGAAGGTTAAACATCGTTCAATTGCCTATACACCCACATTGTAATGAGCACAAAGCTTGGTTTCCCTTTAATGTAACATCCAAAATGCTCTAAAGCAACCAAAACACACACTTCTCAGGATCAATATACAAGAACACTGACAACAGTCTCCCAACAGTATCGTCTTTTATTTATAAAACCTTATGTCCTTTCTTGTAATACACCTGGGAACTTTTTGCATGCCCGATCCATCCCTGGTAATATTCTAAAGAGATATGTCCAAACATCCAGCATTCATTTCATCCAAGAGGGACATCTGATCATGTGGATGGTGGTCATAAACGTTCCACCTCCGTGAGGAAACTGATTCCTCTATAGAGCTAAGGAATGGAGAGTGAGGTGGAAGGAAAGGTGACACCATCCTGGCATGGATTGTAAACCACTCTGTCACTGGAAGAGAACAGTGAAATGGCACATTGTCCAATAGAATTACACTTGCCCCTTTTCCTTTCCTTTTCAGTGGAAGTCTTTCATGGAGTTTTTTTGGTTTTTTTACTATAGCATGAATGTAAACATGTGCAAAATGGAGTGTAAATACAATACAAGTAAAACACCCTGGATGAAGTGGTACCTGTAAGATCAAAACACATATTTGGATGAAAAAACCCAGCCGTCTTGACAGTTCGATAATAAAAATGAATGTGATCCATAAACAACAAAGCTAAGCCTTAGTTTTCCTGTTTCCGGCTCACATTAATTTTCAAAAGTATTGATTGAATCGCCTCAAACCAAATAACTAATATATGTTCATTCTTATGTTGAGTTCCATTCCAATTTATTTCAACAGTTCACCAGCAGCCACTATTTGAGACAATGCTAAGGCAAACAAATGAAAGGATTAATCCACATAGCTAATGTATACTTTAAGGACTATATGATGTCTAATTGTCTCCTTCTCTATCCTCTTAAAGGTCCTGTGTGTAGGATTTAGTGGCATCTGTAGGGAAAAGGGAAATTGTATCTGTGCCATATGCAGACTCTAGTGAAACTGTGTCTAATTGTTCCCTTTTGTTATGTTTTAAAGGAATTTCCTTGCTGTATGTTTGGCAGCTGATCAAATATTAATAAAAACTGGTGTGAGCTGGATCCTTACCATCCACCTAACTAATTGCCCCACTCCTACAGAGAATTCATGTTTGTGCCAGGCTTTTGCCCATAATTAGATACTTCAAACTAACATGTAATTGACCATCCACTGCCAAGTAAAGGTTCAGTTTAAGAAATGAAGGTTATGTTGCTTTTATTTCAGGAAAAAATCAGTAATTAGATGGATGTTTTTGTGTTGATCCTGTTGCTTTTTATAAAGGTCATTAGACCTGAACTGTGCTGAGATATCCTATTAGTTGCACTTGCATTAGTTTCACATTTACATAGACACTAGTATCCTGGTTTCAGGTCTCATCCAGGTATTGATTATAATCAGGATATTAAATTTGCATGTGTACCATGACAAAACTGGGTAATATCCTTATGTATGTTATTTCAACAATATCAATGTGACTCCTCCACATCTAGCTATACTCTTTTCTGTACCAACTGAACTCTTCAAGTTGCTTTTAGTTTCTCCATTTTATCAGCAGTAATAAAAGATGAGAGCATCAACACAGTCTATCCTCTGCGTTAGGGTTTCAGACCTGCACTTTTTCTTTAGAAAATGCTTCAAACACATTTGTCCAGACGGGACCATGAAATGGGCCGGGATGTTACATACCATGTAGATTTTAGAGCGTGTGTTCTTTTTGTATTCTTCATATTGAATGAAAATAAAGGAACGAAGGTTCAGCATGTCAATGAAAGGCCTCTAGGTGTAAAGCAGAAAGCCCTCCACAATAAGGATGCAATTTTCTCCTCAGTATGGAGAGAATATCTTAGAATCTACGGTGTTATTAACACTACGCAACTTCTGAAACTTCACCAGGTTCTCCAACCAGATCATGTAGATCATCACCTTATCATGGCGTCTATGTCCATGTTGTGGCTGTGACTTTTCTAAAAAATGGAATGAGAGCTTGTCCAGGTTTCTGAAACCAAGATATGATTTAAAAGGAACAACACAAAACCAGTATTCTACAAAATCATAACAGGGATATTAGTGTGCATGTAAACACACTAAGTGAGTTTGGACCTCCATTTAAAGTCTGTAATAAATACACAGTGTGAATGTCATTATTGCAAACTACCATTTCATTTCCCTGATGAGACATATTTATTATTACAGAACATAATCTTTACTGAATCCTTTACTGAATCTGGGTTTCTGCTGGTGGCAGTGTCAATTTAAAGGTGTAATTGTTGTTATATGTTCCCCAAGGTTAAGAAACATGCAGAATCATAAACCTGAACTGCAGCCATGAATCGAGACACAGCCCTTAATGCCCCACAGCTCACCCTGTAACCCACCTTACCTGCCCCCACAGATTAAATCTGTCATGTTGACAAAATGTAGTCCCTCTTAAATATGCATGAGACAACAACATCTTGCTGTTTAATTGCTAAATTTCTGTATGAGCGCTCATACTGACAGGGGGGCAGATAACTGGAGAGTTATTTAACTCTGCGAAAGAGTAATATTTTTGTTGTGGTTTATTAACAGGAGTGGACTGGTGTCATCTACTTGCATGGGTAAGATATGAGAAGAATATCTGATAATACAACGAGTACAGCCCGCAACGAACATCTTAATTACTCCCAAATAACAGTGTAATTGTTTATATTAACTGTGTATCAGTAGATACCTACACATACATGAAGGTACAAGGGAAGTAGGGCTGCACAACATGGTAAAAACATTATATTGCAATTATTATCAGATACTGCAGTTGTGATTCACGATTTTGTGGGAAGGATCATTTTTGTATCACAAATTGAATTTTCACATAAAAAAACCCCATTAAAAGCATGATGATGGGATTTTTGGGGGGTCTTTACCATGTTAATACCGTGTTATACCTGTACCATGATAATATTTGGATTATGTGTTGTGTAGTTGAGTTATATTAGCACGACCATCCTTGAGCACCACACGTCACAAGGAACATGTTTTCCAAGGAGTTGTTGTTCAGGGACATTATAGAGATGTTTTGTATAGCTGTTGCCTGTGGTTTGGGAATTGCGTCTGCTTGGTCTTGGATGCAAGTTTAAATTGCTGAAATTATTTTCTCTGAACTTTTTCTTCTGGAGTTTGTTCCAAACTAAAAACACACATATACCCCTTTGTTATTTAGAAACTATGCAGTTAGCCTATCCTCATTTTGTTTAGGTAAGTAGTATGTGCTAATTTTGAAATATAACTCACAGCAGATTGTGCTACAGAATTCATGACCACATCTTCCTCATTAGGGGAACAATGCTGACCCCATAATAACAGAATACCTGTGAGTTAAAATATACCTACAGTATAAGTACCTTATTCCCTAACAAACCATAAATATATAAAAAGAGCAGGTTCCATTTTTGTGTGTACTTTAAATTCTTTATAATTTTAGTGCAGCAACACTAAAAGGAATGGCCTTGAGATGTGCTCTATATCAGGGAGCAGCAGCTCTGAAATATACAACAGATACAATGAATGAGCAGACAAAATCGATCATCATTAACATCACTAAGAGTGTGAATCTTTTAAAGCAACAGAAAAGAGAAAAAAGAAAACAGCATTTTATACCAGAACACAAACAAGTTACACACATTTCCACACATAAATGTAGTCTGCTCTCGCAGTTATTCATTCACTTGTGAGGAGTCTGATATGTAACAAAATGTATACTGACAACTTTTTGTTGCCCTTTATCTGATAGCTTCACATCCAAATTTTTTATACCAGACCATTGTCTGACATATCAGAGGAAGTATATCTAATAAAAAAGTTGTATACATTTTCTACCACAAGGAGAGAGAGTGGACTAATAGGATGGGAAACAGTCTTGGGTTCATCTGAATTGTCTCTGCTCTGATCCTTGTTCCCTTTAAAATGTTTAATTCTAACGTGACTCTTTACATATACAACGTTTTAAGTTCAGGAAGTAAAGCCACAATCAGAGAGTGGGTTATGCATTCTGCTGCCCCAACCCCCACCCCCCACCTCTCTCTCTCTCTCTCTCTCTCTCTCTCTCTCTCTCTCTCTCTCTCTCTCTCTCTCTCTCTCTCTCTCTCTCTCTCTCTCAATGTTTCTCATATTAAATTTGTGGCTGCAGTGCATCCAGACAGCCATAAATTCCATTAAAAATACAAGCCTGTCCACTTCCCATTTTGTGCTGCTTAATACATCCCTGCAAAATTGGCTGATAAAAGTCACACAAAAGAACCCAGTATAACCACAGCCCTTTCACTTATCTCTACACAAAACTGGATTATGAACACTGGACCTGTTGCTGTCACTACAATTAATTTGTAGTGGATGGAAATATAGCAAACCTTATGCTTTGGGGGTGATGGCGGCATAATGACAAAAACATAATTCATGTTAAAGCAAGAAATAGTTTGACTAGATAATAATAGACTTTCTTGCCAAGAGTTAGATGGAGAAGTTACCTCTATTATGTCTGGACAGTAAATGTGTTGTTGGAGCCAGCAGTTGGTTAGCTTAGCTTAGCATAAAGACTGGGAACAAGGGGTAAAAGCTAACCTGGCTATGTCTGAAGGTCAAAATCTGCCTACCTCCTGCCTATGTGCTGGACTATTTCTTATTATTATACTATACTATACTATACTATACTATTTCAAACTATTCCTTTAGATAGCAATGTTATATATAAAGCACATTACACAAATTAGCTTTGAAAAGAAATTGATATGCATTAGAATATTGACGGTTTTAACTTGGGAAAGTTGTGGACTTTGTATCCATCAAATGGATAATTCACCCAGTTTATTATGACTCATCTGAGCCATTTTGTTTGGCTGCAGTTGCTTCTCTCCACATACATTGTCCTCCCTACCCAGAAAAAAAATCTATATTTTATCAAATGTAAACTGCAAAATGGTTATCAAATATGAATCATTTGTACCCTCCATGGTTAGTACAGACTACTGTGTCTCTGACAGAGCAGACCCAGTGCAGAGGCTGTCAAAAGACTGTTTACTATGATGAGCAGAAAGAAAATGTAATATGATGAACAGTTGACCTTTCGTGATTTGGAAACAGTTTGTATTTTTCCACTCCATGTAATTGCATTACAGTTCATTTTCCGGTCAAGAGACTTAGTAAAGATACAGTCAAGTAAGAGGCAGCAGCAAAGAGAGCTGCATAGCACTGATTTACATGTTGCAGAGGTGGTAAGATAAGCCTCTGAACTGTTTCCTGAGGCAGACCGCAGCAGAATGCAGCAAAATACTAAACATCATGAACACTACTTTATAGACTCCCTTATTAGTTATTTCTAGTGATTTTATTCAGAGTCAGCTACAGGCTCTGTTTGTTAAGATGCAAGTAGCCTAATAAAACTAGCTTTGTGAATAATTGATCAACTTGCTTTGTTTATGAAGACAGTCTGAGATGCATGTAATAGGGATATTTTTAATTGGGAAATATCCACAAAAGTGCAAAATGCATAGGAGCAGGCTGTTTCTTTAGCTGACCAGTAGTAATCAAGTAAAGCACAGACACTCATAAAGGTGAAACCCACTGAATCATCTAACCCAGATTCCCCGTTTCTCCTCCCCCCCCCTTCCCCCTCTGCCCACAGCCGTCACCCTGTGAATGGTGCCGCTGCGAACCAAATAATGAGGTGCACTGTGTGGTGTCCGACTGCGCCGTCCCAGAGTGTGTCAACCCTGTGTACGAGCCGGAGCAATGCTGCCCCATCTGTAAAAACGGTAAACACTCATCTCCTTTGGAATTCAACGCACACTCCTTAGAAGTCATTAAATTTTCATTAAACCAATGACGGCAAGTTTATCTGTGGTATTGCCATTTGATGGCCGCGCCTTCAGAGGATTAGGATGTAATTGATGTTTTATGAATTAAAATTATTACCTTGGGCCCGTTGGACACTAATGAGCAGTACTAGTTTTAATTATAAATGACACACTAAGCAGAGTAAACATTAGCCCATTGATTAAAGGCATGGTAGGAGGGACTAATGGGTCCTTGGAGAGCCTTTTATCTGCCAGTGCCCTGACGCCCTTGTCACACACAGCCAATCCCTAAATTAGAATTATAGGATTCCAATGGTTCATTGGCTATTTACAAGGCGAGGTGGGAGATTTCCCTTTACCAGCACCAATCCTGAGGGACAGATGGAACTTTATGACTTAAGTACAGTAACTGCTCATCTGCAATGTGATCCTGACTGGAATGATCAAAAGCAAAGAGGGCCTATGGGTAATATCAAATGCAGCCACAACAGAAGGGCACATCCTCAAATCAATGATTTTTGTTTTGTCATTTTTACACAAATAACAAAAGATCATTTGAGAGCTGAAAACGTTGACAAAGATAGTTTTTTCAGAACTCAAATGAGAACCTGATTAATAAGAGTTACGCTCACGATGATGTGCCCTGTTATTGCATTGCAGTCTTCTCATTATGTTGAGTGTCACACCAAAAATAGAGAAATTGTTCATGAATATTCTTGTTGAAAGAAGACAAAGAAAATATCCTTAAATATTTCTTTTCCTTTTTTTTCTTTCAAGCAGCAGTTGACCTATAAATGTGAAGAAAGGAATTTAGTTTGAGGCGGATGCTAAATGGCTATTTCACCACAACTACCCACATTTTCTTTCACACTTTCTCTCATTTCCTCTTTATCCCCCTTGCTTTCTTTTCTTTTATTTCAACACACAAACACCCACACTAACAAGGCTGCAGAAGCTGCTAGGAGAGAGCTAATCCAGGCTGACAGGACACAGTGACACCCTTGGCATTTCAGGGTAGGCCTGCCGTTTCTAGGCTCCCCAAGGGTGCCTGGTCAGGCTCTGGCAGACAGATAAATCTCTATGGGAGTGGATGGCTGAGGGCTTTGGGGAGAGGACAATGAAGAATGCAATTTAGCTCTCGTTTCTGGCCAAGGTAGAGGGGACTGTGAAAGGAAGACATCTACTTATGTGCTCCAGTTAGACATGCAATTAGTGGAAGACGGTCAGGCATTTATCTTTTACTTTACCTGCAGCAAGACTTCCAAATAATTATGTGAAATGAGCATAACTTTTTTCAAAATGTTAGTGTTTTGTGCACACTCTTTCTGAACATGGAAGGATCAGAAGACACAGAGCAACAGTTCATATTTTGGTATGGTAGTGTGTGTGTGTGTGTGTGTGTGTTTAACTCCAGACCACAAGGCCACAAGACTGATTCTACAGCCATGCTAGGATATTGAACAAAATGCTAATATTAGCATATTGCTGATGTTAAGCATGATGTGTACCATGATCACCTTCATTGTGTTAGCTTGCTAATATTCGCTAATCAGCATTAAATAGAAGGTCAGTGATGGACTGTAACTAAGTCGGGCTACATTTACTTTACAGTACAGTACTTAAGTTCAGTTTTGAGGTACTTTTTTTCCCCATCTTCTGCTCCTTTACACTTCTACTCCACTACATTTAATTGCTAGCAGATTTAGATTATTAATACCAAATATAAATGATTTATTGTCATAGGATAGGCTATCCAGCAGTATATATATGATTCTGAAATGAGCCATGCATAATGTACTTTTACTTTTACCTTTGGTAGGCCTACTTTTTAATTTGTACTTTTGTGGACAAATTAAAAGCTGAAAAAGTTCATTTATCTGCCAAATGTTAACTATTCAAAAACAGATGAAAGTGTCATTTAAAGGGACATTTTGTAGTTTTTTTAAGTATTTTATTAGCTAAAATCAATGTCTTCATTCATAAATGTGTCCTCATTGGTGTAAAATTACCTCTGCCAATGATCTGACTTATCCTCGTAAGGGAAGAATTTCTCACCTGTATATACATTGAACGGGCAAGTCCATGGAGGCTTCCATGTCATTCCGCAATTTTGAAAAACTATAATCGCTGAGAGGGACATAAAGCACTAGCCTACCTGTCGAGCTAATCCACAATGCGTAAGCCAGCTATAACGGAGAGGGAGATCAGTGAGAGGAGCTTGTCACTGCCCCGGCAGTGCACTTTAGTTAATAATGGAGGATCATACTTATGCCGAGCCACAGGAGAAGGAATCCTCGTCGCCAAAAAAGCAAAAAAGGGAATTAAAAAGGCAACGTGACCGGCGAATTCAAAAAACAAGGGTAAACATCGGGGTAGCTTTTCCCAGGTGGAAAGAGCTAATGAAGGAGAAAAGTGACTTTCAAAGTGACGCTGAAGTTGCCTGCTTTCTCCTCGACAGGTACGTTAGGCTTCTTGGTACATAACGGCTACCGTAGTTGCAATACGCATTTGAAAACGCGAGGCACTAGAGAGCACTATTCTTTTGAATGCAAAATACAATTTCACCGCTAGATGGGAGAAATTCCTACACAATGTCCCTTTAAAGCTTTATTGCCACATCATCCACATAACGTGTGTTTTGGAGAGCATGCACATTTCACGTAATTTGATGTGACTGTATTTCCAGAGAGAAAGAATCATACCTATATATATATGGATTACTCTATGTCTGCTGGGTTACTCATATACACACAGTGTCGTGGTTTAAGGGGCTATTGCTGCATCTGCAGACGAACTCTACTGCGTAGGAAGTTCAGCTGTAGTATCTCCACACTGCATCTGCACTGTTCCAGAACAGGTGAAAGGTCTGGCTGAACCCACTCACTCTAAGATAGTTATAGAAGAGCTGTGGGGTTGTTTAAATTTCAAAACCAATCAGTAATGTTGTTGAGGCTAATTGGCTCCCATTAATCATTGATTTGGTGATTTGGAGGGTAAAATACCTACAACCAACTGTGGTTGATTGTGGGATTTTAACAGACTTAATGACTTTATTTAAATTTAAGGCAGATCATAACAAGATTTCAGCATCTAAAATATTCTGATTGCAACTGTGATATGCAAAGGTCTTTTGACTTGTAAATCACCAAATAAATGCGTAGGGCTGCCCACCGTTTGTAAAAGCTTTCCATTATTAGGATTTAGTTTTTCAGCTTGTCTGCTTCTTGGTGTTTAACTATGAAAACAGCAACAGAGAGCAGAAGGCAGCACGATGAAATAGTCAGTCAGTGGGAGCACTTATCTGTGAGCTCCACATTCACTGAGTTCGACTGATTCAGCTCAAATCTTATCATGAATTATATACTGTAAATGCATCTCGGGATACATGTAATTATATAATTATCATGAAGAAAATGATAATGAGAAGTAGTCTGAAAATGGGCCAATGTTTCTTCAGTATGATAGGATTAAACCATTTATAGATCTGCCAGGTCTTATCTGTCTGAAGGCTGTCATTTGTGTTTTTTTAAACAGACATATCATAAAGTAGCAGTGTCATAGAGCTGGTTACAGTTAGGTAATATATTCAGACTGACATATTCTGTGGAAAAGCTGCAGTTTGTTTGTGGAATTAGTTTTTTAGCAGTTTTTATGGAAGCATTTCTTACCTCTAGGCAAGAAACATAATTGTATTTGAGCCAAATAGACTGTAATGAGTCCCAATATGCGTTCACTTTTTAAGCTGTAGTCAGGGAAAGTATGATGTGCTGAGACAGTTCTGACACAGGACAAACATTTTCTGACTTCTGACACTAAACTTTATTGGCCATGAATTGATCACAGGTGACAGTGTGTCCTTCGAGCGGTGACGGGTAGCTGAAACTGTGTCCTTGCGCCTCCAAATCTATCTGGCTATAAACAATCACACTTGGCAGCATCGCCAGTCACCCCTCTTCCCTCATCAACCTCCACTGAGTTTGTCCTGTAACCTGTGCCAGCTGTCCAGAGGCAGATCAATGAGAGTTAAGACTTGGCAAGCGCTCTCAATGTCTCCTCTAAGCTCAGATCAAAGGGGTTTTATCAGGTCCAAATAGAGCATGGGACTCATCTATACTGAGGCAAAGGGTGGGGATACTAGGTAGCCAACAGCTCCCTTTGTCAGTGTCACATGGATATTTATGGCCTCCTGCACTTTATTTTCACTCATAAACCCTGAAGAAAATTGAACCAAATCCCTATAGACACCTGAAGCAAAACCTTTTGAACTACTGACAGTTGCTGGCCAATCCTATTTGCCTGTCTTTAGGCTATTAAACTAAACACTTGGTTAAAGCTAGGTTAGAGTCATGGTCTTGGTTAAATGAGATTTAAAAAAGTCAGCGTGGCTTGTCTCATGCTTTGAGTCAGTATGCATTTTCAATATGTAACCAAGACCATGATATTTACCTTATATTCAAGTGCTTTACGTTGCCTAAACATTAGCATTATAGGCTGTTTTCACAGCAGACATTTTAACTTGTCATAGCAAGAAAAGTACAAGTGTTTCAAATAACATCAGCAATGTCTCTTTTCTACTGTTCTGCTTGAGTAAGCCATGACAGTGTGACACTAAGCCAGCATGAACAAAACCAGGTCCCTGAAACTGAAGCAGCTAAAAGGAATTAAGCAATCAATAATGCTATTATTATTTACTGTAATACTCCTGTATTACCTACTTTGTGCCTTTCCTACTTTGACATTTGAAATTACCTTCTGTAAAAAAAAAAGGCCAATCATGCTTTTGGTTCCCATTAATGTTTTTTGTAGGGGACAGAGTTAAAAGCCCAGTGTGCAACATTTTGACAGAAATTGAATATAATTTTTATAGGTATGCTTCCATTAGTGTATAATCAATTACCTGAATATGAGAATCAGTGTGTTTCCGTTACCGGAGAATGTTTTTATCTACAGATGACACGGGTCGTCTTCTGTGGCCTTTTGCAGTCACTGTAGTTTCTCCTTTGCGCTCGGAAAGGGGGGTGAAGCGAGTGAGTTGCAATCTGTAACTACACTACGATGCCACTAAACCCTGCACACTGGACTTTTAAAGGGCTGTAAAAATTGTGGTGTTTTTTTGAAAAAGCTCTGTTCTCTCATGCAAATTTGTATTATTGACTTGGGTCAACTGCAAAAACAAAGAGAATGAGAAGCAGAGCTGCTTATAATTTCATAAGCCTCCTAACTTGGCATCTTCTGCTCAGATAGGACTTTTTCACAATGGATATTTTGACTTGTCCTAGTAGGAAAAGCACAATTGTTGCTAATAACGTTAATGATGGCTCTGTTACGCAAGTGTCCCAGTGTGACAGTGAGCCAGCATGCACAGTACCATGACCCTGAAACTGAAGCAGCTAAATGGTATTCAGCCATCATTAATTCTTATATTTACACCTGCGCTTTTCCTACTGTGATATGTCAAAATGTCTACCATGAAAAAAGGCTTGTAATACTGTGCCCAAGTTGAAATATTATGCAGATTTGCATGCAGCTGGCCTGTGTCCCCAAATCTCCCGTGTAACTGCTCCGCAGGTCAACCCTACTGCTCCACATTTACATTGCTAGCATTATGTTAGCCTGTAGTAAATCAAATTCACTGGGACACTGAGGTGTCCATGAATATTAGCAGTGAAAGCTACTGTGTCTTCAAGAGTTATGACACATATGAGGATTTTATGACTGCTCGTAGAGGAGTCTTGAATTTAGCACGTTTTACAGAGCTAAATGCTGAGAGCAATCCAAAGTCACCGTCATACCAATTGAGCTGCTGATTGCTTCATTTAAATGATTAAAACTGGTGCAAATTCCTGACACCTTCTGGCTCCTCTGTCACAAGAAGTAGAGGAAGAGATACACCGCCTCAAATTGCCCCGAGGCAGGAGAAACAAATTGGATTTAATAATTTCACGTGATATTTACCAATAATGAATGTACTGCATTCCCAAAAGGTAACAGCATTTTTGGCTTCCTTGAGGAAAAATCCTAAAATGTACCCAGGCTAAGAAGATCAAATACATACTGATACAATACATGAGGTGTTCCGGTACACAATCAAACACGTCTTAGAATGAAAGGAATCGTATCAACATAAAGGGATCCACAAGTAAATCCTACAGTGATTTAAGGATAAATCAGACGTCAAAATTAATCTGAGTTCTTTATTGTTTTGGAAGTCACTACAGAGTCTCCGTGTGAGTGTGTGGAAAGAAACCATGTAAGGAATTGCTAAGGAGTTCTGTGGCCTTTTCATACAGAGTGAAGTGATTAACACCATCCTCTCTTCTGCCTCTAAAAGCAGCTTTCTCTCTCTCTTCCTCTGTCTCTCTGTACTCCAGCCTCTCTGTACTGCTAAGCCAGCGCCTGGCAGGCTCCTCTGCTTGCGGCGCATTAGGATGCAAAGCGCTCCATGTCGAGGGAGAAGGGGAGACTAACAAAAGCGCTTTAGTGTTGCAAAAACAAGCCCATCGGTGCATGCCCGTGAAAAGATCTGTACGTCTGCTCTGACTCCCCTAACTCCCTGCAGCTCTCTGCATCACTCCACCACCCCTCCGAAAAGAGAACCTCTCAGGAGAGCCACATCCATTTCTTGTCGTTCTCATTCCTTCTTTCCTGTCTTTCTCCCCCTTCCCCTCCCTTCCCATGCGGCAGGTCCAAATTGCTTTGCTGGAACGACGATCATCCCAGCCGGAATTGAAGTTAAGGTGGACGACTGCACCATCTGCCGCTGCCACAATGGAGACTGGTGGAAGCCAGCGCAGTGCTTGCGGCGGGAGTGCCTCAACGGCCAATAGTTGTCATAGAGAGACTCCACCGGGGATGGAGGAAAAGCTCAGGCAAGGCCCTGCCTACTGCACCATTTTGTATGATTGACAGGGCAGGAGCACAATTCCTAAGCAACCTGAGACAGCATTGTATCGAAGAGATGCTCTCACAAGCTTCACACAAATACAAATTTAGCCACTGGGAAGAAGACAGGACTTGTCTCATGGCTGTTTTCACCCTCCAGTTTTAATTGTCCTATATATTTTCAAAAGTTGATTTGCTTGACTTGCTGCTCTCACATGAAAAGTTTCTAAGCTCCTTGAACTCTTTCCTAACAATTGGCAATGTTGAATTGCTCATGTTGATTTCTGTATGTATGTCATCTGCTTGTTGTACCCGTCTATCACAATCACGCAGGTGTTGTAAAATTCCAACAGCAGGAAAAACAAACTGTAAGCACACTTAACGGCGCTTTTTTTGTCATACGAAGATACAGACCGGTGGAAGCACTGCAATCGTGTGCTTCAGTTTCACAACTTCACTCTAAGAGCTTGTTTACAAGGTGCACATCACACATAAATGTTTGTGTCTTCATAAGACTTAAATACTTTTTATTGCTATGGCAGGAACTCACCTCTACACTTAGATGATGCTACTGTCAATTTTATAAAACTGCTATAAAACTCCAAAACGCTGAGTTTATTGATCATCACACCATGGTTTTCAGTCTTGTCTCTATATAGTAGCAGCACAGGCAGGGTAAGCTGGTACTGTAGAATAAGCTGAAAGGCTGTAGTGGTGTTAGCCAGCAACTATGAGAGGGGAAGATGGAAAATTCTGCAATACGGCATCAAAACAACAACTTTAGGCAGCCCCTTTCCGGCTTAATTGTGGTTATTGTTTTCTCTCAGAGGTCCATATCCTCCAAAATATTCCCACTAACTAACTGCTTGAACTTGTTATCAAAGCAATTAGCAAGCCAAGAGCAGCCTGCTTTAATTTCCCTTAATCAAGGAGTATTCTGTGATAAATCATCCAGCTGGGTGCTTGGCGCTGCCGCAGCCTGCATGCTGGGCACACTCAACGAAAACCAGCAGACAAAAGAAGGGAATCTGCATATGTCTAAATGCTTTTAAGCAGCATTCACGTGCACATTGTCCATGTGAACATACACATGCACGCAATTCATCCCATAATCTCATAGCCACAGTATGTTGATCTGCACCCCACCCAAGCTCTTAAACCTATAAGGCTTGTTAAGATACAAAACTGTTACATAATCCCACTGCTATAGATCATGTAATTCATTTTCAGTTCCTCCCCTCCCTGATATGTTAGAATAGCTCTTCCAATGTGGTGTGGCTATGACTAAGGCTATAATATAGAGACAAGCTAATGTATTGCCTTGATATTTTCCCAGACCAGAGTGGTCCTCAAGTGGTCTAGTCTAAAAGAAAAAAGTATCCAACGAGGGCCCAAAACACCATATTTTTGAGATGATAAATACTAGTCATTATTTCAAAGGTGAATTCCAGTAAGCTCGTGCCATTCATCACTAGAATCTTTTCCATTTCCAGAAAATCCGTTCCAGTTAACCTCTTAGACCCTATTCCTGGGTGGTGATGGATGGGCTGCTTAATAGCAGCTCCCAGCACTCTGTAATGAGACAGAAATGAACATAGGATAAAGACCAGTGACTAAAGAGGTAGATTACCTTAAAAGGCACCAAAACTAAGTTTTAGGAAGAATCTCATCGTCTGCAAAGTCTACTGCATAGTCTTAAGCTGCAGCCCATGAGGTGATGGAGGAATCACACAACTGAAAGAGTGTGGGTGGAGTTCAATCTTAGGTGCAACAATGGAGCTTGGGTCATTTTCATCATTAAGCTACAGTGATTTAGTGTCTTTCCATATGAAGAGACAGACCTCATCTATCTGGCTTGAGGTCTGCAGACTCATAAAACAAAACTGACATCTATGGTTTATCAACTACAGCCTCAGTGCTCCAGACATTTTAGGATTAATAAAGTAGCTTCATTCATCTTAATTACTTTAAATGCCAAATAATTATTCAGCCACTACGTGTATCCAAAAATTCATTGGAATTACTTTACTGGGTAGCAACAGAGAGAGGTTGAAGCGAGTGTGCCAGTTGACAGGGCTCAGAGGTATTGCTGCCGCCGCCGATGCCTTATTGCTACTGTTCCAGAGAAGATTCACAAAGCATGGCCTTTGGCTTCATACAGCATGAACAGCCCCGACTGCTTTAAGTGCTACTTTGTTTACTGTCATGGATTACCCCAAACTAGCTGTTGTTTTACCCTTAGACATTCCAGCAAAGTGAATTGGTAGGAGTAACAGGGCAAGGACAAAAATCACAGCTAAAAATGCAGAACTGAATTCACAGATTACTCTAAAAATACAGTAAATGTGGAGGCAGCAAAACTGGCAGATCAGAGTATCCAGGCAACTTGATCCTTACGACAATGTGACATTGAAACTCACTGTAGTGTTTGTTCATTCTGATACAGTTTCATTCTATGCTTCTGAGGTGCATTGCATTTGTTTAACTAAACTGGGGTGCCCATCTCCGTAATTTGCAAGATACAAGCTGTCATCATCAATTAAGTGCAAAAGCAGGAGTGCAGAGGGTTTAGCGGTTGTCAGCAGAAAGTCAAACTATTCAGACCAAGAGCTGAGTTGTGATCCAGCCTGCTAGTGGGAAGCAAAAAAAGAAAGAAAGAGAGATATGAAGTAATAAAGCAAATCCTATATGCAGAGCAGGTAACACAGTTACAGAAAACTGTGGAAACTTTTTTTTTTTTTTTTTACACCCCAGAAAGTGAGATACAGGCATAGAGCAGGACTGTAATGGTGCACTGTAAGCAGTTGTCATAAAAATGACTTGTATAGATCTCATTTACAAATAAACAGGATGAGTTTGGATTAACATACCTAGTACATTCCTGTGTGCGGCGCTTGAAAGAATAGGCCGCATTTAAAAACACAATCAAAACCGTTTGTATGTGGCACACATCCATTATACGCATCTCAGAGAGAGAGAGCCTCAGCCTGAGCAAACGTACATTTCTCCTTGCAAATACAGGAAGCTGCATAGTTTCAAGGACAGATCAGTTAAGTCTGTCTTTGTTCATTTTCTGCCAAGAAAGTTGAGTCTTTATATCTGTTTGAGAATGTCTATTCAAATTACCCCATCTGTCATCACATCATTTAAACCGCTGGCTTGTACATGGGCATTTTGTAGAGGTATATCATTTGCTCTTTCCATGAGACACCGACTTACTGTAGCTGGAAACTCTGAAAGATTGTTTTTTTTGTCCTTTGTTTTTTTCAGCAACAAAACTGTTACATGAAGTGTGCCTGAAAACCAACACAGAGTACTATCTGGGATACGATGAGAGAAACACTGTTATTATACAATCAATTGTATTAGTTTTGGGGCACCAAGGGTCTGTTGATGAAGAACTAAAATGTAGGATAATATCTCAAAAAATTTGAAATGTATGCTTAAATTAAGAGCATCTTTGATTGTATATGACTACTTGCTCGCACAGGTTCACCCTAAACTGTACAAGACACAAATGGTCAAAATTCTAAAAATGTTTAAACAACCCTTGGTGTTCCCCATGTTGTTCATATGTAAATATCTTCAAACGTATAATGTGTATTCTGAAATCTGAGGTGGAGTAAAAAAAAAAAAAGACATAAGAAATAAGAAAATGTGTATCATTCATCAAGACAAAACCTATTTTGTTAAATAGACTTGAAAAGAAGTGTTATTCGGCAAACGTGAGTGTGGATTTCTTTTTTTTGGTTCATTCTGAAGTATGCTGATGTTTCTGGACACAGTGCCATTTAAGATGACAAGAACACACACCATTAATTGCTGAAGAATGTGTAATTCCTTAGTGTAAAAAGGACAACGTTTTTTTGGTACCTGAATTTATGCTGGGTGATCTATGTGAGGTGAACTAAAACCTTGGGGATGCTAAGGACAAATTTAGCCACATTTCCTATGTTCTAAAACCATACAAGAAACAAGAATACACGGTATAAAACAGCTGACTAAGGACAGAGCACAAGTTCAGATAACCTTTCTATGAGCAGAACATTTCAGAATAAATAAAAGTACAGTATTTTCCTGGCTCCGGGCTGTGTGAGAAAGAAAATAAGAAGATACCCGTGCTTAATGGTTTTGTAATGCTCAGTGAGTTCAAGGGCATTACTCACAGGTTCATTCCTCCATTCTATTTCATTACAAGTCAGTCTGGGCTTCTATCTCGTCCACACTACTAATTGCCTTCTCCCACCTCCCACCATGGACAAGAAAAGGGAAGCAATTTTATGCAGCACATAGCAATCAATAGCAATTAGGTGCATCCCTGACTAATCCCATTGAAAATGGCATCTTGGGAGATGGCCAGCAGAAGACCTCTTAAAGCACACATGCCTTCACCCCAGCGTTGGTGGTGGGGAACGTACACACAAAGTGGACACAGCAAACGCCAGCGCTGTGACAGAACAATTAATTGCTTTGTTTTTCCTATTCTACACTTTATATTGAATCTCCATCGATCTTTTTCAGGGACCCACTCTCTCCATTTGTATCAAAGAGGCATTTTCAATTAGATAATTAGATAATTATCTCTTCCGGGTAAAGCCATGCAGATTATGGAATGTAATTCCACTCTAAACCCACTTGTTAGATACTGCAGTGGAGAAAGAATTGATTTGAGGTTGATGCACATGACGAAAAAAAAAAAAACGTCAAATGAAATTGCATAAATGTGTCACTTGAGAGAGAGGTGGGTGAGGGGTCAGCAGAGATGCAGGCATTGTACTGAAATGTCATGGTGAAGAGGGAGCAATTTAACAGTAGATCTACTTTCCTACCTTCACCTATGGCCAAGAGCTTTGGGTAATGACTGAAAGAATCAGGACAAGCACACAAGCAGCCAAAATCAGTTTCCTTCACAGGGTGGCTGGGCTCACCTTTAGAGTGTGGAGCCTGGATGTCTGGATGGAGCTCGGAGTGCTCCTTGGCATTCAAAGGAGTCAGTCAGTTAAGGTGGTTTGGGGCATCTGATAAGGATACATCCTAGACGCCTCCCTGTGGAGGTTTCCCCAGGTTTGTCCAACTGGGAGGAGAACCCAGCGCAGGCTCAGAACATGCTGTTGGGGTATTACATATCCCAGCTGGCCTTGAAAAGCTACGCAATTCTCTAGGAAGTGCTCAAGGATGAGGCTCGAGGGAGAGATGTCTAGGCTACCCTACTGGAGTATGAGCTCTTAAAATTATTGGATGTTTACTTGTCACAAGCTACATAATATGCGTGTCAGAGTTGGGTTATATTAGTTTGTACAATGTGTTATCCACCAACATAATGAGTGAACAGCTGGCCATCACAGAGAGGGGGGAGACGTGACATTTAAATATGAGGATAATGGTGCACATTTTCAGACAGTCTCTCCTGGAAGGCACCCATGCCTTTTTACTCAGTTGTCCATATAAACAGTGAAAGAAATTGTGAAAACCATAAAGTTCAAACTCTTGCTCCTTTCTCAACTCTACACATCTGACCAATCACAGTCTGAAGTGGTTGTGAAAGTCGGTTTCGGAAAGTTACAGAAATGGTCAGACACCCCAGCCCCCAAATTTGATGTCGGAAAGATGTGGGGGGAAGAGGTTCTCAAAGCTATTCGACCACCTGACGAGAAGCAGAAGA